CTCCTTTCAGCCATAAGACTTAGGACTTTTGTCTCCATGAGAGAGAGTCTCCCCACTTCCTCTTAATGACCTCCCTTCTCTGCCCATCTTCCCCTAATAATGGATCAACACTCCCCCTCCCTTGTACTGAGCTTCCACGAGGATGGTTTTTTGGGCAAAACTTGCTCCATAGAATGATAGTAGTAAAGGGAACAACAGGAGCCCTTTAAGACCACCAAACATCTAGTAACTCCTGTCCATCTTTATTTCCATATCATAATCAGTAACTCCCAAACCTACCCAACTTAGTTTTTTCCCCCTTAATGTAGTAGCAAGTACAAAGCCTTGAAACACTAAACAAGATAAAGAGGATGGGAAGGTAATGGTATACCTGAAAATACAAATACACAAAATGTGTACTCTCAACTAGGTACGATATGCCAATAGAACTCACTTCTTGGGAGCTCAATAAATGATGAATTCCATGGATCAAGGGGTTTACTCTAGACACCAAGGATTTCACCTCCCTGATATGTCAAGATAATTACCAGGGGGCAATGTTGCTAGTTGCTACCTCAGCCTCTAATCGATCTAAACCATGGTCTCTCATCCATTTAATCACTGTGTTAGCTTCTTTTCAAGTGAATCCTCTTGCAACCCATGAAAGCTGTAACTTTAGGAGATCACCTTAAACTAGGGGTGCAACTCTGGTTGGCCTGAATTGGCATTTTACACTGCTTTGGGCTTGGGCCTTCAGGCCAGGCCCATTCAAATTTTGACATAAGCTCAACTTGAGCCTGCCCGAGTTGCAGTCCCACCTTAAACAATTGGCCTAGGACCTATGGTTCTTTCAGGTTGTCATGTGGTACATGGATGCCTAGATTTCTAGTAATATGGAACCCATTATTGTTTTTCTTTTTCTGATCAGTAATAATGGAACCCATTATTCATCACAGCATAATCAAGCTTTTTACCGTTGCTTATAAAAAAGGATCTATTGTTCTTACTCTGTTTCTTCCAAATGCTACAAATTGTGTAGGGATCGTTTTTTGGTAATGGGCTACATAACAGGGGTAGCCCTTCCCCAAACCCCTAGACCCCCCCCCCCAACCTGGGTGAAGGCAGGATTCGATCCCAGGCCTTTGCTACAACCAGCCAGAGACCTTACCAGCAGGCTAGTTGGCAGTTGGCACCTTCAATTGTGAATGCATCAACCATCTTGATATTGTAATTATTCTGGCATTGAAAGCAACATGGCACAAACACTAGCTGTATTTCACATCAAACTTGAAAAATAGGATTTCATTTTCGCAAGTGATACATTAAATATCAAATTGTTGGTTTCACCTTCTTAAAACCTTTAATTTTGAATCTTTACGTGCATATGCTCAGTATCTTTTATCATTTTAATATGGCTAAAAGTGTGCTTGACTTAATAATTAATTCCTCATGTTGTGGCATAAATATCTAGGTACCATCACTAGAGAATTCAGTTTTAAAGTTGCTCTTGAACAAGATATAGGATAACCCAGTTGTCAGTCAAAAACATTTTTAGATATAACTGAAATGCTTTCTTGAAAAAGAGGTTTTCAGCTTCAAGATTTGCTTTCTGTTCTTTGCGGCCAAGATTTGAAGGATAGTAATCATCTTTTTCTTCAGTGTCCTATCTCGGTTAAGATCTGGAATCATTACTTTTCTGCCCTGGAGCTGCTGAGATGTTGGGATCTGCAAGGTCTGTCAAAGCTAGTAAAAAGTCTGGAGGTCCATTCCGGTGGCTGTAATCAGCACTATTTGGGCAGAAAGAAATAAAAGAATTTTTCAAAATCTGGAATCATTACTTGTGATGCTCCGTTTAGTTTTTATCAAAACTAATGATTCAGTGGGGTCAATTTTTGAAACCTTCTTTACCTTTCTTTTAGATTTTTAAGAGAAAAAACCCTAAAATCGGACCCACAAGAGACAGTAAAGGGAAAATCTCACTTATTTCCTGAGAGAGGTATTGAGCAACCAAAACTGAAGCTGCCACCACCATTTGTTCAAAATGTACCATAATCGAGCAAGTGAATTGGCAAACTGTTGCAAAGTCATGGTGATTGTAGTTTTTGCTGAAGAATCTAACTATTTATTTTCTTTTTATAAGAAATCAAGAACAAGGTAAAGAAGGTTTCAAATTGAGGTCTGAGGTGTGTATGCCTTGAGGAACAGAGAGAGGGGGTCTCATTGCATCAGCCCCCTCTTTGCCTTGAGGCAAAATCTGTATGCCTCAAGGCAAAAATCTGTGCCTCACCTCTTCACATCCATGATGAGTGTGAAGATGAGCAGAGAAACGGGGTCTCCTTGCATCAGCCCCTCTTGGCCAAAAAGAAATCATGAACTGTCCCAGTTTCTAGTATGGAATAATGACAAGAACTTACACATCCAATCATCCATTTTCTCTCTCTCTCCAAAGCCATATCTCATCAGGGATTCATTCATAAAAGACCAATCAACATAATCATAAGCATTTTCTAGGTCTAATTTACTAATCCAACCCTTCCCACCAGTCCATTTCATTTCTTTAACACACCACCTGTTAGCAACTAGTATTTGATTAATAATCTACCAACCCCAGATGTAACACCAACCATACATCATATAACATAGAAAACATAAAAATTTATAAAACAATTAAAATTACTTGCTTCATCTAGTTGTCCTTCAATCCCTTGAACTTTTCTTTGTCTACTCATCTTGATTGAAGCTTGAGATAGAGGTGTAATGTGGGTCAGACCGAGCCAGTCCGTGGGCCTAGCAGGCTGCGCCTACTTGGCATGAATTCCCCAAGAGGGAAATCCGGCACGGCCCAAGCAGGCCGGGCTGTGGGCCAACACAATTTTTTAAGAAAATTTAAAATAAATTAACAAGATAGACAACAAAATGAAAAAAATATATATTAAAAATTTTATTCCATGTGAATTTTGATGTATACAATTGTTTATATATGAAATAATAAAATGAAAGTGAAAAAAGTACAATAAAACTGAAATAAAAATGAAGATATCTATATCTATCTATCTAAGCTGAAACGGCCCATGGGCCATAAACCCTTGGCCCAACCCAGCCCCAGGGGTTGTGTTGAGCCAGGCACGGCCCGTTTTACACCTCCAGCTTGAGATGGATGACCTAAAATATCATGACACAAGCTGCTCTGTGAGTGAGCACACACAGGGGGAGGGTGAATTGACGAAATGGAAGTAACTGTTTGGTAGAAACATAGAGAAAAGAAGAGAAAATCTAAGTTTATGATGTCATCCAATGTACAAAATCTAGAAATGGTATCTAATGTGTTTTGATCAGGAAAAAGGGGAAATCTGGTACTATATATATATATATAGGAACCTTCCATGTGGCAACCTGGGACCCTTTGATCCTTCTGTCATGCTTGAATGGGCCTGGTCCAAAAGCCTAGGCCCAACTCAGTTTAAACTCTTCAAATTGAGTACCTAACTTGCACCCCTACAAATTTATTAGCTGCTCTTGGGTGGCTTTTTAAATAAAATACCAAAACTTTGGACAGCATGTATAAGTTGGGAATAACTCCAATCTAATGCAGGATGTGAACTGAGGAAACATCTAGCCAATCCAAAGGTTCCTCCATTAGGTGGTTGGTTCAGATCATCCACAAGATTCATTAATTGTTTTAGTGTGGCTTCATGCCTGCATAGATATATATTTACTATCTATGTGCATTTACAAATTTTTACTCAACTCTTAAAATGTAACAAAAATTGGAAAATATGTTCTTTACTGTATTTTTAACCATTTTCAGTAGTTGTAAAACCTAATCATACCTAAATATTTGTCAATGCCATGTTTTCATGTTTATATACCTACTAATTATGATCATACTGAACCTATGCCAAAATAAGTGCAAGGGTTTCTAGTTATATGCAAGGTTCACAGTATCAATACACCCCGATACAGAACAAGGGGTGTATTGGTACTTTTAACCTTGTGCCTACCCATTTTCTTTTAGTGTTTTTTTTTTCAAAAGTAGATCAGGGGCTTATGCCTGTCTACCCCATGAAATGGGTCAAACCCCCAAAGGTCCCTTATTTAGCATACCAGTGACCCGCCGATACATGACAAAATTTGAGCCTTGGTTATATGTCTATTTTGTCTTCTAATACATGTCAGATGCTTCATCTTAAGGCATCTTGTATTTCTGTATACATGGAAATGGAAATGGAAATTTGTTGCAGAGATTTTTCTACAGTAATAAGTCAAACCATAACTTTACTGACATAGTTGAGTGGCACATGCAAGTTCATGTGCAAAAGAGGAAGAGAGACATGATAGAGTGCCGAGAGAGTAAATAAATGGATTAGATTTTTCACATGTTCTGGATGTGAAGCCAAGGCAGGTATCAGCATTATACTAATAAAGATAAAGATAAGCAGTTGTAGTTAGTCAACCACATCAGTACAAGCATGCTTCATTGCAGCCACAGATGCAACCCTCTCCTACCAAATAATTCAGGGGATTCGTGCCAAAGTCATTATACATAAACAAGAAAGGTGGAAATTAATTATATCAAGGAGTATAAAGAGATCTTTCAGAAAAAAAAAAAAAAAAACTGATTACTTTGTAGTTCTGAAAAATCTTGGAATGGAAAATTTGTGTTCTCTAACTCATTTTCAACCCTTTTACAATAGCTTAGAAAGTTCATAATCTGAATTTTAATAAAACGCATATTTACTGATAAAAAAAAAATAGCTTAGAAAGTTCATAAACCTTGAGATGGTAAGTAAAAGGACACTACTAAATCCAGAAAAACTTAATTAACTTAAAATATAAAAAAAAATTAGCAAATAGAAAGCATCAAGTAGAACAAAAACCCACAATATTCAGTCCTTTTACTATTGTATACAGTGGTTTCCCCCTTTCAGTTAATTATTGAATTTTACTTATGAAAAATAAATTTTTCTTTCCATACTATTATGTTATAACATGATAAAAGAATTAATATTCTAAATGTGTACCTCTTCCATCACGGTTCCTATGACAGCCACCATAAGAATCTATCTTAATGTTCTCTTTTTCTAGCTCCTCAAGGGCCTGTAAACGGAAGTTGCGAGCCCCACAGTTAGAAATGAAGGCAGCTGCAAGGGCATTTTCAGTCTTTGGTTGCAATGGTGCCATGATTTCATACTCAGCCCATGAAAAATAACCAACAGGAACATCTGAAGAGAGACTTGTTGTCATTACAACACTATATCCCCTCCTGGGAAAGAAGAAGATTTAAAAATAAATGTTAGTTTTACTGAGCTCCAATTACTGCTGATAACCCATTTTCCACTGGCAAAAGTAAGAATTATGAAAATGGAAACATAATGAAGTTTGTTTGTCAATGCCTCTGTAAACATCGATAGTAGAAAGTTAAACTTGCCTTTTGTTCAAATGTTTGTCTATATTCCAATAGGAACAGGTTGCATGTAGTTTTAACTGCAAATTCTTATATAATGATGGAACTCTAGCAGAAGAAAAAAATCCATACAGATATCTTATATTGTGGCTTGAATATGACATATTGGCATAGTGCTAGTAATTTGCCCCTTGTACCCTTTTAATTTTTCTCTATTAATAAAATCACTATGCCCTTTCAGATCCCTTCATCATGGCAATGATTCATTTAATTCACCAAATGCCATTCTATTTAATCAACTCTCAGCATCCATCTTCATTGGGTTTTGCTTATATCCAATCTCCAGTGATTTTATGGACCCCTCAACAAAATGCAACTTGGTTAGACAACTCTTGAATATTACATATTTACTTTAAATTTTCATATAGTCTATCTTTATTCTTCCCTCCATTTAATGCATTAGTGGAAGTCTCTTAAATGCATATATACAACAATAGGCTTGATCCAAATAAATTGGATTAGGAGATCTGCAAACAGTATGGCCGATGGTCTAGCTAAACAAGGAACCAGAGACGATCCATGTTCTGGGCTTACTTGTAAATATTGGGATGGCTTTCTTCTTGGGCTTGTTTTTTCTGCCCACAACTTGTTGTATATCTCCATTTTAATTTAATGAATCAATTTTTGTGTTGCTGATCAAAAAATTAATAATAATAATTGGTTTGATGTATCACTACAAGTCTCATACATGCATACAACTGTAGGTTTGATGTAACAATATGCTCCACTACCAACAAAATGAATTTTAGCACTATCCACAATTTCCTGTAGGTTTTCCTAATTTATTTGTTCGATGTCAGTAATATCATCTGACCAATCAAATTGCTTCATCTTCTTTCAGAAACTAGAGAAGGTGTAAAGAAACAGAAATGTTCAGAAGTTGTACATTTTGTCATGGCCAGTTCTTGAACCCCTTCTGGCCAACCCAAACTCCCAACTTTACCATGTCATACATTGTTAAATCTGTTTATAACAAACAAAGCGCACATGCTTTAAAAGAGATCTTTTCACTCAAGTACTCAACAAATAAGATTGGCAATGACTGTAGAAATTCCAAAAAGAAGGTAAAGACAATTTTGGTCAATTACAAAACTCCTACATGCAAAGAAAGCCATTTTAGAATGTGCTTACCCACCGTCGTGCCTGAGCAATGTTGTTTTCTGAGTAGTAGTGAGAGGATTCCATGGACCGAAGAATACTAGCAATTGCACCATCTTGAACTAAACCGAATGCAGCATCAGGCTTCTTATCTGACCCAAATTGATACCCAAACTTACATCCAACAGAACAAGAATTCCACTCCTGAATGGAAGTTCATTGTAACAATAAGTACGAATTAGACAATGAAAACATCAGATGCAATCTAAAATGACCCCTTAAATTTCAGCACCAGATATGAAAAAATTGTCAAAAAGAAAGAAACCCCAAATGCATCAGGCCATTTACAGAGTGCAACTTCTAAAGCAGAGGAAAAACAACAAAGTTTTAAGTTGTAGACACTTAAAATATGCACACATAAACAGTAGGGGTGTCCATGAAAAACGAAAAACCGAACCGAACCGGAAAATGCGGTTAACCAAACCGATCGGTTCAGTTTCGATTTGGTATTTTTGAAAAACCGAAGGACCGGTTTGGTTTTCGGTTACCCTAGAAAAAAAACTGACAGTTAACCGAACCGACCGGTATATATATTTATATGTATATTTCATATATACTTTAAATATATGTCACATATTTTCTATATATTATATATTTTTATAATATTTATAATATATTATATATCATTTATTATTTATAATATAATATTATACATATATTTATATAATATATATAATAAATATAAAAAACCGAAAAACTGAAGAACAGAACCGGTCAAAAACCAAAACCGACGAACTGTTTAACCGGTGGTACAAGTTCGGTTTCAGTTTGGAGAAATTGAAAAACCGGTAGGACCGGTTCGGTTTGCAAAAATTGTCCATGGTTCAGATAACCGAACTTGGACACCCCTAATAAACAGACATTGTTATAGTGTAAAGAATGCATCCAGGCTATGACAAAGCTCTTTTGTGTCTCCAAGTGTTGTCACTTGGTTGATACTCTGGTGATGATATGCAATCAAAATAAAACTAATGATTTTTTTTCTTTTTCTATTGGTGAAGGCAATTAACAACTAATATACTATTTTTTTATTGATAAAAAGGGAATCAAGGTTCAAAGTATCAATACATATCATTGCATATTGTATGATATGTATCGGCTTCAGTGTCACCAATACTCTAAATAATGAGAATTAGGTGATTCCAATTGTTTTAAATGTTAATAATTGATGTGACATGTCCGTTGTCAAATTACCAAGCCAAAAAATGAAAAAAAAAAATCAATGGAAATGAACTCTCAATACACGAAATTTGCTTATCGAGAGTATTGATACTTTGAACCTTGAATGGAAGAAGAAATTACAACAACCATTATGCCATTGCATATAAAACCCCCACAGAAGAAATAAAAAAAGTAAGAATATGTACGTATAAAAGTTTTTTAAGTTAATAATCCGTAAGGGCCATTACCAAATTATGATCCAACTATTCAAGATCTTGGGAAGGAAAAACTGGATAGGGACCTAACCTTTTGGCTTTTGTTTTTTGGCACAAAGTGGCTGCCCTCATGCTATAATCCACATTCTCCTGCTTATCAGCCCAAGATTTTCCATTGCACCAAATAATGACCCAAATGGTCAATGATCCTTGCCAAACTCAAATAGGTTTTCGAGCCATGTTGCATACTTAACGTCAAGAGCATAATTTGCATTACTATTGATCCACTACGAACGCAAATAAGGTTTTGGCTAGAGAATTATGATGCATACTTAATGTTTAATAGCATAAATGACAATATTTTCTTTTTTTTGATGAGTAGAAATGTATTGTATTAATATAAAAGAAGAGAGCAAGTAGCCCTCAAATCATATACAAAAAGAAGTGTGCTTTTAACCATGCACAGATCATATACAATGAGAGCTTTTTGAAAGAAAACTAAAAAAAAATGATGGACCACCAATGATTAGAGTGATAAGAAATGTATTGTATTAATAGAAAAGAGGAGGGCGAGTAGCCCTCAATACAAAAAGAAGTGTGCTTTTAACCATGCACAGATCATATACAGTGAGAGCTTTTTAAAAGAAAACTCAAAAAAATGATGGGCTACCAATGATTAGAGAAAGAGCTGGCAGGCACATCCACAAAAAATTTTGAGCACCTAGCCCAGCTAAGAAGCAACCTTTCCACCTTCCCCAGGACCACCTCCACTACATTAGATTTAGACTCAAAAATCCATTGATTGCACTCTTTCCACACCACCCAAAAAACTGCAAAAGGTAGGCTATTCCACAAGAAACAACCTTTGTGTGAGAAGCAGTTTAACCTCCAGCCTGAGATTAAATCCATGGTTTCAAATGTCGTCAAATGTCGCTAATGTCGCCCGACATATGTCGATGTCGAGGCTCACCAACATGAAAATGGATGGTAATATAAAAATTACATTATGTCGGAAATGTCGACCAAATCGGTCCAAATAACCAAAAAAAATACAGTTTTTCCTATTATGTCAACAAGATGTCGACTAATGTACATTAAAAATATAATATATTAGTATATTATATTAATATAATACAATATATTAATATAGATTATTCTTTTCTATTTAATATTTCAAATAAAATATTTATAAAAAGAATTAACAAAATATAAAAACAAAAGAATAAATTAATTACTTTATAATATAAAACATAAAATATTTTTCAAGTAATAAAATATTAACTAGTTAG